GAACGCTCGGTTTGACCAATCAGCGCAGTGTCATCTCCTCGACACCCCATCCGCGCGCGATGCGAACGGTCATATCAGGGAGATGACCATATAAGCTTCAAACTAATACCGCACCTAAGTATCTGAGAATAATATTAGGCGAGATTAGATAGACCATTTAGTTAAGATACACACGTTCTGATATCTGATATATTTTGACGTGACTTTAAAGACGATTCACTTTCAAAGAAAATGTCCCAAAGACTTGCTAATGGAGTTCGAGTGGTTGACCCATGATTTCTGATACTTTTTTGTCATCAGTTTTTTGGTTTCTCGTTTTCTTTTCACACAGGTTGTTGCTTAATTGTTCAGTTGTGTGGTGATTAGTGACCGTTAGTCGATGATTACATTTTAACAATGTTTGTAACTCCCAGGGCCTGAAGATGATCTCAATAAAGATCGAAACGTTGGCACGATAAAGAAAATGTTTTTCTGAAACCTACATCACACCAGACCGCATCTCACGATTTCTAAATAAATATGTTTTTCAAGTAGTTTACCAAGCTTTTAAAAATAATGCAATAAATTTTCCATTTCCTTTTACTAAAAAAAATGCATTTCTCTTACGCAAATACAGGAAAAATATGCTCTACCTAGTGTTTAGTCTGAAAAAACAAAACCAAAAATAAACGGTAGCAATAAGAAAACTATCATATATAATTCAAAGGTATATAAAAGCATTGCTAAAATATCACTAAACTTATATTTATTCTATTTTTGTATCGAAAAATGTATAAATAAACAATATATTTCTCAGTTAGTTCAACTTTTTTTTAGTAGAAAAGCGCTAAAATGTTAAATCTTCAACTGCAACTTTTTTTCTAGTATAGGTTGTCCAAAAAGATTTGTCCCTGGAATGAATGCCTAGGAGGGGGCGGAAAATAGACGACTTTTAAACTTTAATCGAAAAAAGAAAATCCACGAGAGATAGCGGAGATCCTCGACGGTTTAACAGATAAATATAATTTCCCATTTAAAGTAACTTGCTTGTTTCATTGATTTGTGTCACTTTGATCTCCAGCCAGATTGTCTTACGTTTTTGATATTTATATTTTTCTTAATCCAAAAAGCTAAAATAAAGAGCCACTTTCAAGATTGTTAATCAGGACCTATAATTTGTTGTTACCGATCAAATCACCTATGGTTACTGAGTGTCATATTATGTAATATTCTGATTCTTTTATTTCACACTTAGAGTATATATGCACGTTTATATTTACATATGTATATATATATATTTTTTTTAACGATCCCATCTAGTTATACATAATCCAAAAAGTACAATACGGTGCTGGATCGCAAACCTCGCTTTCTACTATACATTCATCATCACATAATAAAAAAAAACAAGTAGAATATGCTGGGATATGTTGCCCATCAACCAATACTACCTGTATACCTTTATAATGTCAAACTTTGTGAGATTGTGTGAGGAGGGGTTGATCGCTTTATTTTGAGGTGGCCTAAAAGTGTTCGATTGACTTAAGGTTCGGACTTCTTACTTGACTTTCAAGGATTCACATAGGTTTTATAGAATTTATGATTGGATAGGATTTGAAAGGCAGTCTTTTATAAAATCAAACACGTTTAGATGATTAAGCTGAAAAAATGTTATTTTAAAATTCACTAGTTTTCGTGGTCCGCTTGACCAATTAATATATCTCAATTAATTAAGGTTTTTAGTTGAGATAAAAAAGCGAGTGTCACGAGTGGGATTCGAACCCAGACCTTCGGCAAGATTCGCCGCTGCTCTTGAGCTATCGTGACTTCGATCCACTCGGACACTAACTTCCCATCTCAACCCCACCTTTTGAATTTTGAAAAATGGCAAAAAGGAGAGAAAATTCAAAAGGTGGGGTTGAGATGGGAAGGTAGTGTCCGAATGGAACGAAGTCACAATTGCTCAAGTGTTGGAGCAGCGGCGTGTCTGGCCGAGGATCGTGGGTTCGAGTCCTGTTATAGACACTGACTTTTTTTTCTCAACTAAAAACTTAATTAATTGAAACGTTTTAAAATAAGATTTTTTTCAGCTTAATTCATCTAAACGTGTTCTACTGGATTAAAGTCCAGACTTACCACTTGAATGTTCGCAAAAGTATGTTAGGATTATTTAAGATTGGATAAGTCATTTTAAGCGAAGTATTTTTTTATACTTTATATTTTCCTTTTTCAGATATTGTTATAAAAAAGATAAAAATAATAATATATTATAATACATAAATACTATTTGTTTTATTATTTCTAAATGGCGCAAACCGTATCGCAAACAATAAAAAACAAACTTGTAGGCCTTTCATCACAAACTAATCAACAAAACAACTCTAACAATCAATAATTGCTTTTTAAACAACTGAGATTGTCATCTTAAACTAGCCTCGATACAAATTCTCTTAAATTGATGTTGCAGTAAATTTTTATTAATCAGCGCAGATTGTCTTTTAAATGCGTCACGACCGGCGATTATGGGCAAGGAGGCACCTACCGGACCGTCCTAAACATTTTTGCATCATCACAAACATCTTGCCTGGTGATTTATCATAAATGTTATTTAAATGTAAATGTCATTTTTAATAATTGGTTAAACGAACTTGTAAAAATCACATGGCTGAAATGACAAAAGACCTCATATCAAGCATTTTTGCCTCAACTCTAATGACATTTTAGAAATCCGATTTTTATAATATAATTTACCATTAGCAGAATTTTCGTTCTATATTGCTTTTAGCTATAGAAAAATGCAAAGTATCAATTATTTTTTTGGTCAAGGTTGAAGGATTTTTTTTTTAAATAACAAAACAGATATGAGGCAAGAATTGAATTTTATTTAAACAAATAAACACCTGTTATATTTTTCAAATACACTACGTACATAAATCGTTTCGTTTTTCCTCATAGAAATTGTCAGCGGAGACACTACATATTACTGCCAGCCATTTGTAATAAATAACAATAATTGCTTTTCTACCTATTTAAATATCCATCCCGAACCGGATAATAACTCTTTTCTTGCTCAATAATGATAAAGATAACATGCATAAACATAAAACCGAAAAAACACCACCTTATGTAAGAGTCAACGACATTCCCTAGAGAACATTTTGGCTGCGCCCATTCTCGCTGTTAACCTTGGGCAATAAGCGTTTCTGCCGTATTTAGCCAGAGCTCGTTCTTTTGTATACACGAAATAGCCAAAAGTGGGCGGATTATTAGAAAGAAGTAGGCATAATTTTCATACTGGGATAAACAAATACCAACTACGTTAAGAAATTGCATTGCTTTTAATGATAAAACGTGAAAGAATAAAAAAAATCAATAATTTTATACATAAAATCTATAAATTTAAAGAGCACCACCGTTGTATAATACTTAAATGAATTTTTTTGTTATAACTCTTATTTTATTGTGTTTTTCATCATATTTATTTGGCTTTAATTTATATTCAGTTGACACTGATAATTAATGTACTCAGATTTCAATCTTGCGTGCAGAACGTTGTTCGACTCTCCTCCCTTTTTTGTTTATTTACAAAATTAATAAGTAAAAATAAAATCCCCATTCTTAACATAATACGATTTTACGAGAGAAAGAAAGAGAGAAAGAAAGAGAGAACGAGAGAGAGAGAGTGAGAGGGGAGAGCGAGTGAGAGAGAGAGGGGGTGAGGGTGAGAGAGAGAGAGAGAGAGAGAGAGAGAGAGAGGGCAGAGAGAGAAAGAGTGAGTTTGTTTGAGATAGAAAGGGAGGGAACGAGGGAGAGAGAAAGGGGGAGATAGAAATAGTGAGTGGCAGGGCAGAGAGAGAGAGGAGAGAGCGAGTGAGAGAGAGAGGGGTGAGGGTGAGAGAGAGAGGGGAGAGAGCGAGAGAGAGAGAGAGAGGGCAGAGAGAGAGAGAGAGAGAGGGCAGAGAGAGAGAGAGAGGGGGGGTGAGGGTGAGAGAGAAAGAAAGAGAGAAAGAGAGAGAGTGAATGAGTGAGAGAGGAGAGAGCGAGAGAGACGGCAGAGAGAAAGAGAGAGAGAGAGGAGAGAGCGAGTGAGAGAGAGAGGGGGTGAAGGTGAGAGAGAGAGAGAGGGGAGAGCGAGAGAGAGGGCAGAGAGAGAGAGAGAGAGAGGGAGGGAGAGAGAGAGAGTGAGAGTGAGAGAGTGGGAGAGATATGGACAAATAGAGAAATATAAAGATATGTTGAAAGCGAGTACCGAAAGTGGATAAGGTAGAAATATAGATTAAAAGACAATAGATAGCTAGATAATTATGTTCCATCTCTTAAGAAATACAGGAAATTGTCAGAATTGATCATTGCGCCGAAGAAATAAAATGGCTTGAAATCCATCTTCAAAAATGCGTATTATTAATCCGTAGGGATTATTGAGTATGATAGACACGTATTAATCTGCATTTCACTGTGGATCGTAAACATTTATTTTAAAATATTTTCATTCAACTAACCACCCAATTTTGACCCAAAGGAACTGTTTCATATTAATCGTCTGCTCACAACATTTTATCTTGTTTGAAAAAGTTACAACTGAATAAATGAGCAACCCTGTTCAGTAAATTCACTATTTTTCGTGGTCCACTTGACCAGTTAATATCACTCAATTAATTAAGGTTTTTAATTGAGATAAAAAAGTCAGTGTCACGAGCGGGATTCGAACCCACGACCTTCGGCTTGATACGCCAATACTCTACCACCTCACGTGAGGTCACGATAGCTCAAGTGGTAGAGTAGCGGCGTATCAACCGGATACGAATCCCGCTCGTGACACTGATGTTTTTATCTCAACTATAAACCTTAATTAATTGAATGACCTGGTCAGTGTATTATTTCAGGGTTATAAACATATTTATTTTGACATTGTAATCATTTGTAATGAACTACAGTACGAACGTTTGATTTTTACTTTGTGGAGTCTATGCCAAGTTCGTATTCGATTCGAATCTAAATGCTAAATTTGTTTTTGTTTTCAGGCTTAAACACGACAAAAACGGTGGCGCCTGGTGCCCCCGAGCCATGGTGAGCAAAGACTCAATGGAGTTTCTCCAGATCGACCTGGGGAAGCTCAGGGTCATCACGGGGACCAGGACGCAGGGCAGATTCGGAAACGGTCAAGGACAGGAGTACACAGAAGAATTCTATCTTGACTATTGGAGACCGGGTTTCACAAAGTGGCACAGATGGAAAAACCGGACAGGAAGCCAGGTACTGTTAAAAATATTTCTTTTCTGTGATTTTCCATTTTATTCATCGCGTTACGCGGCGAGTTGTTGTGTGGAAGTGACGAAGTTCCTGTAATATAAAATATAACGATTAATTTCAATTAGTTAAGATTTTGGTTGAGATAAAAAAGTGAGTGTCATAAGAGGGATTCGAACCCACGACCTTCGGCTATATACGCTGCTGCTCTACCACTTCAGCGATCAACTCGGATAGCAACTTACCATCTCACCCCCACTTTTTGAATTTTCCCTCCTTATAAAGCGTATTTAGCGGAGCAGCGGCGTACGATAACAAGTCAAACAAATTAGCTGCATTATTTTCAAGTAGATTACAAGAATTAGGCATAAATAGCTCTTAAGTATAAAAATAGCGCATACAAAAATGTTAACTCCAAATTAAAGTCCCTGAACTGTATAAAAGTGATGTGATATACAAAGAAAATTGTCTTTTTTGCACTTTCAGATATTACGGCTAAACCAAATAATTAAAATAAAAACGAATATCTGGGCACAAATTTGACACAAGGTACAATGACAATGGAACTGCTTTGTCTGACCACAATTCATGTCATAAGTTCTTTTCAATTAATTAAGGTACTGGTTGAGATAAAAAAGTCAATGGCACGAGCGGGGTTCGAACCCACGACCTTCGGCTAAATATGCCGCTGCTCTACCACTTGAGCTTCGATCCACTAGGACACTAACTTCCCATCTCAACCCCACCTTTTGAATTTTCCCTCCTTTTTGCCATTTTTCAAATGCCATGTAATTGTGGGGAATTGAATATGTCATAAGTTTGACTGGGATAGTGCAAAATCTGTTAATTATGAAAGAAATTTAAGGGAAAGGCTAATCAAAGAAATAATCTATATAGATTGTTGTAGAAAATAAATAAAAACTTGAAAGTTATATCTAATGCAATATTAAATTATAGTTCCATAGTTTTCATAACTTTCGAGAGGGGCTATTTGTTAATTGTTATCCATGTTTATGTATGTTTATAAAGTGTTTGATGACTGACTTAGACTTGGTTAATTATGGTTGAAAGGGTATGAGAATTGACTAGACTGTGATAGGACAAACGTATGAAAATATATTGTACTGGCTGGTCATATTATTTTTTGAAGTTTTTAATGCATTTTGTAATTATTGAACCGTAGTTTAATAGTAAACGTAGTTATTTAAATGGAACATATTTTTATAACTTTGTATAAGTTATGTTTCATATAAGTACACCGAAGATTACCCGAATTCGGTTGTTTTTTAACTTATTTATTGTATTCACTAATTTTTCGTGGTCCGCTTGACCAATTAATATCTTTCAATTATTTAAGGTTTTTAGTTGAGATAAAAAAGCCAGTGTCACGAGCGGGATTCGAACCCACGACCTTCGGCTAGATACGCTGCTACTCTACCACTTGAGCTATCGTGACTTCGATCCACTCGGACACTAATTTCCGGTCTCAACTCCACCTTTTGAATTTTCTTTGAACATTGAAAAATGGCAAAAAGAAGGAAAAATTCGCATGGTTGGGTTGTGATGGGAAGTTGGTGTCCGAGTGGATCGAAGTCACGATAGCTCAAGTGGTAGAGCAGCGGCGTATCTAGCCGAAGGTCGTGGGTTCGAATCCCGCTCGTGACATTGGCTGTTTTATTTCAACTAAAAACCTTATTTATTGTAATGTTTTAAATATAGAGTCCTGATGAAGATTATATTTTCTTCGGAAGCTCACCGAAGATGTGTTCTTTTGTTATAATTAGCCTCAATCCTGATCACCTTATCGACGTAAATTCATGGTGTAGAGGCTGATCACGAAGTACCATTTTAATTTAGAAGAATCATTTTACTAAAAAATAAACTTGTTCAACACTCGATCGATAATATATTACACGGCGTAAGATGATTTTTCTCGAATGATGAAGAGTCCCCCCAAAAGACTCCCTTTTGATGTGGCATTCAAAAAGAAAAGTTATTTCCATTGATGAGGTTATTTACCGCATTTAATTCCTTATAAAGAAACCCCACGACTCGTCTTGATAAAAGTTCCAGAAAACCAGAACCCCCAGCTCTGTGGCGAAATAAAATCGACTAATTAGAAGATAAAAAGGAAAAAACATTACTTAACAAATTACCCAATTATGTAAATACATTTTTTCGTTATATATTTCCATCTGAACAGGTTGGCCTTTAATTCTGGCCGATGGTCAAAAGACTCGACGGGTAGCAAGGAAAAATCCACTTTTATTCCATCAAAAGAAAGGTTTTAATCCGAAAGAATGATTCTTTTCAGAATCTGGTTTGCATTTTCAGCCTCTTTGTTACAGAAGTTGTTAATGAACTTAAATGTTTAATGGTTTAAAAGTAACATGCCCTGTTTCCTCTCCCCCGTCCAGCGTATACTTGCTTTATACTTGCAATTTCAAGCTGTTCAATTTATCTTGAACAGGTTATTACGGTTTTAAGTTTTTGACTCCGATGGATTTACAGGCCGATTTTTTACGATGATAAAACGGCTATCGAGGCACAATGCTATAATTTAGTTAGAACCGGCTCTAAGAGCCAGGAGATTTATTCGGAATATGAAGTATTGCAGTAAAGTAGTCCAGTTAATTAATTAAATTTCTTTCTAAGCATTAATTGCATTCATCCATACCATATGATCGTTTCTATGGAAAAATGAATCAACTACAAAATAATAAGTTTATTTAAATGTTAAAACAATCAAAGATTGTTTTACCTTGTTAGTTACTTTATTAACACATTACTGATTAATATATATTGTTTTTAAGCTAATTGTAATATCCAAAAAATACCCCCTTACTTTTGATCTCTGTTTTGCTTTATTCCCCCCACATTTTTCTAGTATTCTTGCCAATTCACACTCAATCACTCTCTCTCTCTCTCTTTTTATCTATCTTCTCTTCTCGCAATCCTACTCTATTTCATTTATTTATTGGAATCTCTCTCTCGCTCTCACTCACGCTCTCTCTATCTATGCCCCTTATCTTTCTCTCTCTTCTTTTTCTTCTTTCTTTATTTCTCTTTTTGATGGTTTCGGGCCTGCTTCTATCTCCCCTCCTCTCAAACTCTATATGTGTTTATAATTTGACCTTATAGTCTTTCTCTGAATATGTGTTCGTTTGTTTCACAAACACTCACTCATATCTCTTTTTCACTCTTCCCTTCCTTACTCAATATTTCTTTCAGTATCTTTTCCTTTCTGTAATCTGTTGCTCTCTTGTACACACAAGAAACAGACACAAATTATGTATCTTCTGAAATACAATCACTCAGTCGGACAATCTCACTCTACTCTACTGTACTCTCTCTCTTTCTTTCTCACTCTCACTCACTCATTCCACCTATCTCTATCTTTTTCTCCGTCTCATTCTCTTGTAAACCCATGAAAAAAATAAACAACTTATCACATCTTCCAAAACACAATCACACCCCCCCTTTCTTTCTTTCTCACTCCTCCCCTCTCACTCTCTCACTCATTCATTTTGACTCACTCTATCTATCTCTATCTTTTTCTCCGTCTCACTCTCTTGAAAGCTCAAGAAAACAAGAAACAAACCCATATTTATCACATCTTCCAAAAGATAATCACACAGTTACACTCCCCTCTCACTCTCTCTCTCTCTCTCTCACTCACTCACTCACTCACTCTCTCTCTCTCTCTCTCTCTCTACTTATCCCATTCACCCTCTCCATCTACCCCTCTATCTATGTATCTCTTCCTCTTTTTATCCCATTTTTCTCTTACATTTCTCTTTTATGTCTTTCAGGGATAATGTGTTTAATACCTTCGCATACCGACTACCTCCCACTCATTTTCATTCGCGCTTTCTCCAGCTTCAGTTTTTTTTTTATTGCTCTTATCTCTATTATCCTAATCCTATTCTATTACCCTATCTCAATCAATAACAGTTCCCAATTCTACAACAATTTGAACTATTGAAACTCTCTTACTATCAATCTCAGTCTTGCACTCTCCTCACACATGCAAAAATTTTCTGACTTTTGCGCTATGTCTTTCTCTCTCTCTCTCTCTCTCTCTCTCTCTCTCTCTCTCTCTCTTTCTCACCCCCTCTCTCTCTGCCCTACTTTCTATTATTCTCACTCTCTCCAACACTCTCACTCTCCCTCTCTCCCGTTGTCACTGTCTCTACATTTCTCGCTGTTTTATATCTCTCCTTTTCTATATTTTGCTCTCTCCTCTTATCTTTCTCCCTCTCCCTCTCTCTCTCTTTCTCTCTCTCTCTCACTCTCTCAATCACACTGACTGTTTTTTTATTCTTTTTCATTTTTTAACTCGCTATCTATCTACCGCTATCAATTTATCTCATTTTCTCACTCTCTTTTTTTCTATCGACAAGGCTCGATTATTTATTTCAAGTCAATTCGACGATGATTATTGTAATAAATATTTAAGTTTGAACAATTACTTAAATATCTGTTGTATCATATTATTTTGAAAAACTGTTTTATTAAACATAAAAAATTGACCTTGTTACTATATCTTTCTTTCTTCGGTAATACGACAATGTACTACTATCTTGGTAGTAATATTTAAACCAATGGGGGAAGTCGACCTCGCTCATAAGATTATTTGCAGATCGTGCGGTTTGGGTGTAGTAGGTTTTAGAAAACCAATTTCTTTATCACGCCAAAGTTTCGATCTGTATTGAGATCATCTTCAGGGCTCAAAGTGCTTGTTTTTTCCGTGTAAATGTCACACTGGTACTCTCAACACGACAGACAAAAATGACACATCTACACCGAAAAAACAAACACTTTGAGCCCTGAAGATGATCTCAATAAATATCGAAACGTTGGCACGATGAAGAAAATGTTCAGGTCAGTATTTTTAATATATATATATTTCCTGTACACATATAAATATTTTGTATACATAAATATTATCTTCTTGCTCAAATATGTTCTAATTAAGCGCCGTTGTAATATTATGTTAGCACATT